AAAAAGTTCAGTAAGGCCCGTAATTTTCTAACGGTGCAAATGTCACCATGACGCAACCTTATTGAGTTGTCAAGTTTGATGAATACGTGAATGTTACACTATGTACATATTAAAAAAATAAGGTTATATATATTTTTTAATTAAATTTAATTAATAATAAAATAAAAATATATTTTATTAGGTTAAATTTAATTAAAATTAAAATTAAAATTATATTTAATTTAATTTATATTATATTATATATTTTTTTTTGTAATTTTATTTAAAATTTATTTTAAAAATGTATAAAATATTATTTTTTTTGTGGGTATCCGTTACTACCCGAGTTTTAAAATACTCACGGGTATTTTCTATGTGGATACTCACACAGATAGCTGGTACAGTTTTATGGGGCAGGTCGAGTTGTGAATAGGCATTATGCGTGTTCGACCCGACACATTGTCATCTCTGGTTACTTCATCTCCTCCCATTATGTAACTATGAAATTCTAAAAATTAATTAAAACTAAATATTATTAATATACACAACAATATATTTATAAAAGAGTTTTAGAAGAAAAATAAATCAAACTTGTACTTATGAAAATATTATGATAGAGCTCGGATTCTTAGTTGATATTTATGCCATCAGGTTATAGTGTTCTTCAACCAATTTTGAACACAGATAAGTGACTCAGCCATTAGTGGATTTAAAAAGCTTCAAAGCACCCAAAACCCTACCTCCAATACTAAATATGCTCTCTAACCAAGACATTTATAACCATTTTTATAGATTCGAAAACCATGAATAATTTATTTTCCACCAAACCAAAATATTAAGTGGTCATACCATCAACAAAACTTATTTAAACACCTTTATAATTAATTTTTTCTATGGAATGTTTTTCTCTCAAATGCTATTAAAATCATCAACCATTATCAAATATCCAAGAATTTCACCAATGGTTCATGTATCAGATTAAGAAGAAAATACAGTTGCACTAACATATGACTACTTATATTTATGTTATTGTTTATCATTAGCTTATTTGTACTAATAATACATTTTTGTTGTACACAATTTGTTGGTTCCACAACTTTGTTTAAATCATATTTATACATTTGTTGAAAATTCTAAATTACATACTCAAACTTCAAACTTGTGTATAGTTGTTTGGGTGTGTATGGTGCAAAACATGTTCAAATAAAAAAAAATGACACCAAAATAAAATAAGTGATTGATGTTATCAACATTACCTTAATACCTTGGTACCTTATCCTTGAGTCAAAACAAATTTGAACTAATATACTATTCAGATATATATTTAGATTCATAATTGTATGATAGAATATCTGAAGACGAGCAGTTGTCAACAATAAACCAAACGACCGACTGAACGATCGTCTTCATCCGGACAGCTAACAATAGTGAAGAGGCCAAGTAGGTATTAACGGATAGTCAACAATCACTTCCTAATGATCGTCAACCTCCTAGGCGAAACGATCGCGATATCGTAAAAGATAATGCCAGCGAGACAATAGTCATGCCACACGCTCGTCAATGTCGCCCCTAGTATCGATCGTCTTAATAGCGATCGTCCGTTACTTAAACCATCGATCGTCTTAGGAACGATCGTCCGTCACTTAAACCAAACAACCAACATGGATCAAATTAACCCAGTCAAGCTAAGAGTCAACATACGCTTGGTCAGCTTTATTCAGACTGGGTCAATTGACTCAGATACACTAAAGAAGAAGCGGTTACAAATGTATAACCATGAAAGCGCAAGTTGCGGAACTAACCAACCAAATATCAAAGACGAGGATAGGTTAAATACGAAAAACCTAGAGGAGACAGGTACGTTTTGAATAATTCAGAGAGAGAGGGAAAAAAATATTTTTCCATTATTGGACTAAAAAGGTTCAGTCATTCCTTTTTCTGACTTGAGCGTCAGAGTGCCTTCGCAGGTACCCACCCCATTCTTCCTGAAGAACGATAAGGAAACATTACATTGCTGAAAGGAGAAGACGTCATTCATCACCGTTCGCATCTCGGCCTCAACAACTATACTGAAACAATAATTGTTTTGTCAATTAGTAACCATTTAGTAAAATTAAATATGTATAATCATATGGAAAGACGTAGAGAAACCTTTAATAACTTCATAATTTAAAAAAAATAACAAAAATAGACATGTTTTCAATCATTAGAAGGTAAGATGACCATTATCACAACAAAAAAGACCACTAGAATATTCATTATCAAACTTTTCAAATACAACTTTGAAATATTATTCATCATATATATGAAATTGCACCTTGTGAGAACATCAAAGCGTAATATATTTTGTAATAATTTTTTGAAAACTCTATATACTCTCTAAACACAATTGATACACACAATAATCTCTATATACTCTATATATTTTACTTATTTATAAAATATTTGATTTTGAACTTTTTATAAAATGTTTCTCTTAGTTTTTATTCTCCCAAAATTTTAAAATTTTAAAACATTAATGTTGGTCTTGACATTTATTGAGATAGATAAATATCAATATTGTCCAGATCTGACTTTTTATCTAAATTGTTGAATGTTCATTGACATAAACAAATTATAAATGAAAATTATCACACTAACAAACTTAATTTAGTTTAATCATAAACAATAATTTTTAAATATAGAAATAACGTTAGTTAAAAAAATGCACTAACAGTAAAGTAATATTATATTATCCATCAAGCCTTTGTATGGATTATCCCTCTTTCTAGATTTATTTAAGCACAACAATCAAATAATATTGTGATTGATTAAGATGATTTCAATCAATTATTTGCGTTCAACACTTTTTCCCAACCTCTTACTATCAAATCTATCATTTTATTTATAAAATTAATTCTAACATTTCTTTAAAAATATTAATTATTAAATATAAGTTGAGTTTCATATAAATCATGATCATATAATAAGAAATATTAGTTTTGTGGTGGATAAAGATAATTATCTGACACGTCATCTCTCCGTCCGATCATCTTTTGCTTCACGCACTTCAAGACTGCATCCTCAAAGAAGGATCCACTCCCTCCCTTTCTTCTTAAGCCAACTTCACATTTTCAACCATCGAATCGGGTCAAACATGGAACGGCAATCACCGGAGAAACTAATACTCGTGAACCGCCACCCAAACGGCGTCGCACTGATCACGATCAATCGTCCGGGTTCTCTAAACTCGCTGACCCGGCCCATGATGGTGGACCTGGCCCAGGCGTTCAAGAAACTGGACCGGGACGAGTCGGTGCGGGTCATCATATTGACCGGGTCGGGCCGGTCGTTCTGTTCTGGCGTGGATCTCACGGCGGCGGAGGACGTGTTCAAGGGCGACGTGAAGGATCCGGAGAGCGACCCAGTGGTGCAAATGGAGCTCTGCCGCAAACCGATAATAGGAGCCGTTAGAGGATTCGCCGTCACCGCTGGGTTCGAGATTGCGCTCGCCTGTGACATCTTGGTCGCTGCCAAGGGATCTAAGTTCATGGACACTCACGCTAGGTTCATTCCCTTTATCCTTAATAGAAATCGACTCTTCGGATTTTGAACACGCCCCTTATCTGTTTGTGCAGGTTTGGGATATTTCCCTCGTGGGGTTTGTCTCAGAAGCTTTCGCGCATCATTGGGGTCAACAAAGCGCGGGAGGTATCTCTCACGGCCTCACCTTTGACCGCTGAGGTGGCTGAAAAGCTGGGTTTCGTGAACCATGTGGTTGAAGATGGTGAATTGTTGAAGAAAAGCAGGGAAATTGCTGATGCTATTGTCAAAAACAACCAAGACTTGGTGTTGAGGTACAAGGCGGTCATCAATGATGGCATCAAACTTGATCTTGGCCATGCACTTTCCCTTGAAAAGGTTAGTACTCTGTACAATTTGTCTCTACCATTATATGGCACGGATTTAGCGAAAAAGATTGGTTTGGTTTGGTCTAGAGCAACACAACAATTATCTGCCTCCCTTATTACATGTCGATTGTTGCCTAATTCTCTAAGACAGCTAGAAGATTTCTAATGTATATGGAATGGTTTCAGTTTCTCATAAGGTGAGTGGGGGTGTATCCATTAATTGTTGTTCCCTGTAGTTGATGTGAACTTAACATGGAGTTAGACCTCAGTATACCAAAAGTTTTTCCATAACTGCCGTAGAATTTTTTACTTTATGTATAAATTAATTTATTAACCCTTTTCAACTTTTATATTAACTATACTAATTGTAGTTTATATTAAAAATCATTTTTTTTCTGTCCTTAAAATATTTGTGAGAAAACTTATAACAGCAATAAGATGGTCTGGTTGAAAAGAAAGACTCATATCCCACAAACTGGATGAGTGACCTATCCATCTAATTTTATTTATCACAAATAAACTGTCCCCCTGATGATGGAAATGTTGTTCCAGATCCTGAAAACAGCATTTTATTGATCAAATTTGTCTTTGAAAGTGTAAACTTATTGAAATTAGTTTGCAACCCTTATGGTTAATTTGTCTGACGAAGTGCTATTCAGGGGCCTCAGACTCGAGTGCAATTTCCATCAACCTGAGATTAATGTATTGTATCTTTCGTAAACATTGGAAAAGAAAAGAGAAAGGTTGTGTTACACCGAAATTGTATCCGGGGATTGATTTGTTTGCTCTCTGTTTGGCACTATTTCTTTCCTGATTGTCTGTCAGTCTGCATTATCCATTTTATGCTTCTCTTCTATGTAATCAATGATCTTCCTTGCTAGGGATTTTTCTATTTTCCTCATTTGTGTACATTTTTAGCTTTACCCAAATCTTCTTACACATAAATTCTCCACCCGTGTAAAAAATTTAGGAGAGAGCTCATGATTATTATAACGGAATGACGAAGGAGCAATTCAGAAAGATGCAGGAATTCATAGCTGGTCGAAGTTCCAAGAAACAGTCCAAACTGTAGTAGGTTCTTTAGTAGGTTCTTTATTTGCGCTGATCTTTTGTGCTGTAAATGTATATGATTTTTCTTGGGCAAAGTTCACGCACTAGCCTAATCTTGATAACCAAGAACTAATTTCTGTGGGACGATACTTTGCTGGTCCACAAATTCGAGGTTTTACTAGCATAAATCCATCCAATATCTGAGAACTTCGACTGTTAGTTACGAATTATGTAAATGGTAGCAGTTCATTCCTTGTTAATTATAAAAATAAATGGTACAAATCATTTATGGATTTGTTTTCTTATCTGTTATTAGCCCCTTTTAAATATGGAATTTCGTTTAATTCTATGACTCTAAGCTCTTAGGATCTATTTTGTAGAGAGGAAATAAAATATGGAAAATTTGATAAAATAAAATTATGTAAAAACGGTCATTTATTACACTCAAATTCTTCTCATTTCATTTTAAAGAAGAATATGCAATTGTTATGGTGAGTGGAATATACTGCAGAAAGAGATAAAAGGAGAGAGAGAAATCGTAAAACAATGACTTTTGCGATGAAAAGCAACAAGAATGAGATAAAAATCAAATGAGTGCGTAAATTTTAAAAACAATTAAATTGCATGAACATTGCAGTCTGTCTAACTGGAGATAAGATCACAATCTAAACTTGCATCATGAACTATTACAATGACCTGAGTTTTTTTTTTCTTCCAATCAACAATTCAATCTTATGAAAAGGCCATGATAATAAGATATGCACACTACTTCAATTATATTAGGTTAACTTTCAAACACTTTCAAGACCACGATTTCTCCCGTCCATCTGGCTAATTTTGTTCTTACCAAATTTCCTGAATCTGAAAGCCTTTTTTATCTTTTCCACTATCTTTTTGAAGACTCCACTGCTTTTGGTTTCGGATTCTTGGCTCTGCACCTCCAATTGTTCTGCCAAACCCTCCAAAGAAGCACCATTCTGACGAAACGCTTCGAAGAGCCGAGGGTAAAGCACCACCATCCGCTCCTTGAAACTCCTCGAAACCTGGACCATCGGAAAACGCAAGTCATGGTAATTATAATACCCAACTCCCACGCGCCCACTCGCGTATTCGCCGCAGGCCGCCAGAATCGAAAACGCCCGCCGGCGAAAATGATCTCTGACGAAGGCCTCGAAGTTCCGCGGCGGCCGCTTAAGCAGATGGAAGGAGGTGACGCAAGTACTAAGGAAGACGTTCTCGTTGTACGCACGTGACTTCTTCTCCGATGGCACAGCCTCAGGTTCGTTGAAAAATGGTTTCTCGTTCAGAACCAGAGCTTGAATCGAGAGCAACACTTGCAACATCGTGGACTCACGCGGGTCCCACTTCTCCTTCTTTCTCCCGTACCACGTGTTCAACAGACTCAGGCACACTTTCCCGTTCGTGTAGAGGTTCGGGTTCATTCTGTACCCGAAGGAGTGGTAATACAGCTTCGGAGGGTTCCTCGGATAATCGGAAGGGAACACGATGTCGAAGAAGAAGAGACCATCGTGATACGGTGTGCCCGCAGCGCCTACGATCACAGCCCTCATTAGATCAATGCGTTGCTCGTAGACTCTGACATAGATTGATTCCGGTAAGTTCTGCTGGAGAATCTTCCACTCTCTCACGATGGTTTTGTACACTGTACTCTTTGAATCGCTGAACCATTTTCCCTTCTTTGAACCCAGAAAGTGGTGATCGGAATCGTCTGACACCACGTCGAAGTGCTCGAACTCCGTCGTATTTTCCATCTCTCCTTTTTCTCAAACTGAATTTTCAAATGCGAATTTGGAGAGAGAGTTCAAAATTTTCAACTTTTTGATGAAGGAATGGGTTTTCAGTGTCTAACAAACTCTCTCTACTAGTCCGTTGCAGGAACTTTAAAGGTGTGATCTGCGTTTCTGGTCTCTAAATCATAACAAACTCTTCTAATAATAAGATCGTATAAAATATCTTTTTTATTACAAGAATCTTTATATATTTTATGATTGATAATCCTATTACAGTTTATCTTTTTAGTAATTATTACATCATAAATAGTTTCATTTACTTGACTCTTATGTTTGTTTTTATCACTCTTTTATCTCTTCTGATCTTTCCGTGGTTTGTTTGTACTTCTTCAGAAAAGTATACAACAAGTCATTCTAATTGCTTAACATTTATCTCTTTCCATCGCTCCTCTCTCTTCTTATCTCCACGTGACTTCTAAATCAAGAAAGTTTCCAAGTCTCATCTCTTAATATTTTAATGTTTCTAAATTACCTGATATTAATATATACGTATGAAAAATGGGCTTAAATAACTTTTATTTCTCATCAATTTTTCCTATATTTTTTCCGTTTTAAACTTGAATAAAAATTTTGTTTCCATTTTGTTGCGTCCAAGTTAATTGACATTTCCGTAACTATAATACTTCTAATTTTTTTTATTTATTTATGTCATCAGTAAAAAAAATTTTTATCGTTTTTGTTGTTAATTTTTTGTATTTTACTTCTGATTACAAAAAAGAAATATTTGGTTCCTTATAAAAAAAATATTTTTGTTATGATACCTATCATTTATCTATATTTATAAAGTAATGAGTGATCTGCTAATTAAGAATATTACTAGTTAAATATAATGACAGATATTTTTAAACTTGTGCCTTTTGGAGAAAAATTAACCAATGTGATGGAACAATGTCGTTTTCATCAGTTTTGCATTTCATATTGTTTTTGTTTTTTTTATTCAAATGTGAAATTCAAAAAGAATAAAATTATAGGATTGTCCTTTTGGATTCTTCATTTTTTTAATTTTATCATTAAATCAAATACTGAAGAAAGAGCAATGCAAACTCTAATACAAAGGAAACAACATTACCTCCATCAATTAATTTGTTTTCTTAAACCATATTTTTAAGAAGATACGTATTCAATTCAGCATACGTGCAATTAAGTTACCATTTACAGTTAAGTATGGCATTAAAAGATATGGAAACAAAAGTCAGAATGGAACAAATCACACCCAGAAAAATTGTAAAAGTTATTTAAGGTGTGTTTAGATGGGAGATGATTTGAAGGAGTTTGAATGAATAGATTTGAAAAAATGGAAGATTGTGATGTTATTTGAATTAAGAAAAAGATGATGTAATTTGAGTGGATTTGAGATAAGTTTGTGCATAATGTGATGGATTTGATGGACTAAAAAATTATTTAATAGATAAAATTAGATGATTATTATTTTGAAGGATAAATCTATATAAATTGAAATATATATATATATATATATATATATATATATATATATATATTATTACTACTATTATTATTATTATTATTATTCTAATTATAATTACTAATTATCCATAATGTTACGTGAAATTCACATAAATACTTTTAAAAAAGTAATACATTAAAAATATAGAGATGCCCAAAATTTTAAATATGAAAAATAGTTACATTTTATGTGTATACTAGTTTAATTTATAATTAAATACTGAAGTATTTAATATATTTTATAATTCAAATATGTAAATGAGATTATAATAATAGCAAACACACCATTAATTAAAAATTAGGGGTAAATTTGTAAAATAATATATTATGATGTGACTTTCCTTGCTCATCTTCTCTACAGGGTACAAGTTTGGAAGTAAACAGAACATTAAAGATGCCCGAAATAATTTATCTTTTACGAAAAAAAAATTACCTAAATCATAATTAAACTTAGTCGCAGCATAACCCCTCAATATATTTGAGTTAAGTTGCTAAAATTAAGGCTTAAATAAATTTTGAATCTTCTAATGTATTTGAGTTTTTCTTTGGAATAAGATGGTAAAAAAAGAATTATTGATGTACTATGAACTATACCGATCGGAATTGATTATTATTAAATAGATACTAATAAGTCAGATTAGCTTACGCTATACAAATATATGGCATTAATGATTAATTATAATGGTTAATCAATGAACATGGATGTGGCAAGCATTATAAGTAGACAACTGATTTTCTATCCATTATAAAATATAGACCTCTTTATGAAACATATCTGACTTGAGCGCCGGAGTGCTTTCTGCAGGTCAACAACCCATTGGAGTGGATCGCGTTTTCAGAGAGCATTGAAGATCAAAAGAGAGCAGAGCAAGGAAGGACGACCGACCCTCAGACCAATTCAACCGAAACATTTTGGCGTCCACCGTAGGGCCGAGCGGCATCCCCATGAAGCCACAAAGAACAAGACGCACGCTCAGTCTCGACATCGTTACTTCGGATCAATTCCAGGTTTTGCAACAAGAGTAAAAAGTTCCGTAATAGTTCCCAAAGACATGTTTTTTGTTTTGAGAACTTTCAGGAACGTTCAGCCCTACATCCAACTTTGACATGCTTTAGTTTTCATTATAACCAAATTATAATATATTTGTTTAACTCGTTTTTGTGAGTAAAAATATCTTGCACAGGAAGGTACAAAGTTGCGTTCAACCAACTCTTAATTTTAAATTATAAAATATTTGCATTCGACTTTTTCAGGTTCTACCAACTCTTAATTTTAAATTATAAAATATAATGCACAAGATGGTTCAAAAATACGTTAAACATAGTAAGGTTCTAACAACTCTTAATTTTAAATTATAAAATATTATGCACAAGATGATTCAGAGTTGCGTTCAACCTTGTTAGGGTCTAACCACTCTTAATTTTCAATTATAAAAACTATAAAATATTATGCAAAGGATGGTTCAAAGATGCGTTCAACCTTCTCAGGTTCTACCAACTCTTAATTTTAAATTTTAAATTATAAAATATTATACACAGGATGGATCAAAGCTGCGCAACCTTGTCAGATTCTAAATAATGTGACAGCCAAGTCCATTGATTAACCATTAATGCAGTATAAATATATCTGCCAATCATTCATAAATGTAATATATATGCTTATGATACGGTAATTACTCACATTAATTACCCATTATTGCCCTTCACTGTGCCTACGAGGCCGACTGGTACTTTCGTCCAGATGGCCGATATACTGTCCTCACGTATTTGATCGATCGTCTCTCTTCAGTCTCTTGTCGGCGGATCTTGTATAGTACATTAAGCCCCCCAAGCCCCGAGCAGTTGTTTGCAGGTGCGAAGAGGTTTAACTTTTTGTAGTTGAGTCGTGTTAGGAGCGGTTTGAGCTGGTCACTAGAAGACTATGGTTGAACGTCTTCGCATGGCCGCCCGGGATTGCTAGTGAGTAGATCACTAGAATAAGCCAGTGAGCTGGTCACTTGGCCGCCCGACACTGCTAGTGAACTGGTCACTACAAGACCATGGTTGAGTGTCTTCGCATGGCCGCCCGGGATTGCTACTGAGTATATCACTAGAAGACGCCAGTGAGCTAGTCACTTGGCCGCCCGGGACTGCTAGTGAGCTGACCACTACAAGACCATGGTTAAGCATCTTCGCATGGCCGCTCGGGATCGCTAGTGAATGGATCACTAGAAGGTGCAAGTGAACTGGTCACTTGGTCGCCCGGGGTTTCTAGTGAGCTGGTCATTACGAGACCATGGTTGAACGTAAGTCTGGACCTTCCTACGCAAGATATTTTTACTCACAAAAATATGTGTTAAGTAAACACTTCAATATATTATAAGTTATAATAAAAAGTCACTAGAACCTGATAAGGTTGAACGTAGGACTGAATCTTCTTATGCAGTATATTTTTACTTACAAAAATATGACTTAAACAAATATATTATAATTTATAAATTATAATGAAAAGTGGAACCTCTCAACGAATAACAGGACAGAATATTTTTACTCACAAAAATATGAGTTAAACAAATATATTATAATTTATAAATTATAATGAAAAGTTGAACCTGTCAAGGTTGAATGTAGGACTGAACCTGTGCAGAATATTTTTACTTACAAAAGTATGAGTTAAACAAATATATTATAATTTATAAATTATAATGAAAAGTGGAACCTCTCAAGGTTGAACGTAGGACTGAACCTTCGTGTCACAGAATATTTTTACTCACAAAAATATGAGTTAAACAAATATATTATAATTTATAAATTATAATCAAAAGTGGAACTTGTCAAGGTTGAAAGTAGCACTCAATCTTCCTGTGTAGATATTTTTAGTCACAAAAATATGAGTTAAACAAATATATTATAACTTATAAATTATAATGAAAAGTGTAACCTGTCAAGGTTGAACGTAGGACTCAACCTTCTTGTACACAATATTTTTACTCACAAAAGTATGAGTTAAACAAATATATTATAATTTATAAATTATAATCAAAAGTGGAACCGGTTAAGGTTGAATGTAGGACTGAGCCTTCCTAGATATTTTTACTCACAAAAATATGAGTTAAACAAATATATTATAATTTATAAATTATAATGAAAAGTGGAACCTGTCAAGGTTGAACGTAGGACTGAACCTTCTTGTGCAGAATATTTTTACTCTGCAGGATATTTTTACTCACAAAAATATGAGTTAAACAAATATATTATAATTTATAAATTATAATGAAAAGTGGAACCTGCAACGTTGAACATAGGACTGAACCTTCTTGTGCAGGATATTTTTACTCACAAAAATATGAGTTAAATAAATATATTATAATTTATAGATTATAATCAGAAGTGAACCTGTCAAGGTGGAACGTAGGACAACGTTCCTGAAAGTTCTTAAAACAAAAGACATGCCTTTAAAAATTATTACAGAATATTTTACTTTTGTTGCAAAACCTGTTATTGATCTAAAGTAGCAATGTCGAGGCCGAGCGCATGTCTACACGTTTGGTTCCTCGTGGTTTCATGGGGATGTCGTTCGGCCCCACGGTGGGCGCCAAAATGTTTCGGTTGAATTGGTCCGAGGGTCATTCGTCCTTCTTTGCTCTACTCTTTTTTGATCTTCAATCATCTC